GAAGCTACAACAAGCTAAAGCGTTGACTTTGGTACAGGTGAATGCGCCCAATTTGAAGAAAGAATATGAGACCTTTCTTGAGGAAGTGCAGTGTGCTCTGTACGAAGTGCCGAATACAGAGTCCCTCATATTGATGGGCGATTTTAATGCGCACGTCGGAGTAGACGCTGAAAAGTGGAGTAGCTTGGCTGGAAAAAAACGGTCCTAGCGACCTCCAAAAGGGTTTTTTGAAACAACAGACTGTCCATTATGAACACCTTCTTCGAGCATCGAAGAGTGCATCAGTACACCTCATACCGGGAAGCTTGTGCAGAGAAGTCGATGATCGATTTGACAATCGTATCGTCTGACTTAAGACGCTCAGTAATGGATGTTCGTGTTAAAAGAGGCGCAGAGCTGTCAACCGACCATCACCTTGTTGTTGGCACGCTGCGCTGTAAGAAATGGAGTACCATACGAAGATCTGGTGTCACAACCAGCCAGAGAATCAAGTGGGAAATATTACCGTCAGCGGATACAAGCAAAGTTTGGGAATAAAATCTACCCAAACACGTAAAGGTGCTAGACAGGAGGTGTGGCTTCCGGTCCGACCGAAGCTAGTCTGACCAGACATTCCCTTTATGACCTATTGTTAAGAGGTCGAGGGCGTTCGCACAGTGTATATTTGCCTTGTAGAGATAGAGAAAGCCTATGATCGGATCCCGCGAATCATCTGTCGGCATGCCTGCAAGCATATTGGATCGATTACTAGTTGCTAAGGGTGATCAAATAACTATATTTTGAGGGAAGGTGCTATGTTGGAATAAATGGCGTTAAATCGAAACCTTTGATCTTGGCACCGATCTCCGATTTGGCTGCGTTTTATGCTTGTTTTGTACATGGATGGAATAGTCAAGCGCAATCAGGGCGATGAATGCATCAGTATCTGCCAAGGTCGAAGGAGAGCTATCTGGGTAGATCACTATCAATAGGGAGTGCACCATAAGATGAGCCACCGCCCTTATTACTTAATATTGTTTTCGATTTCCCTTTTCGAATCATTGCACTGACAAAGGCGAAGACCTCATTCTAGAGGGAAAATCTGTTTTACATATCCGATTAGGTATCTTGCTGATCCGGTGTACGCAGATGATGTTGTCATAGTGAATAGTACGAGGAGTTGGTTATGTTGCTTGATGGCTTTGGCATGCCGCACACTTGCGAAAGCTGGCTTTTTCCTTAACGCTCGCAAGTCAAAAATTATGAGGAATCTATCTGGCACCTCTGATTTTCAAGTGGAACAGGGAGGAGGTTATAGAGAAAATCGACTAGTTTATGTACCTCGACTCGATCATCTCCACTGATGGCACAATACGGTCATAGTTAAGTAGTAGAATCGCCTCAGTTTCAGGTGTTTATGGAAACTTGTGCAAAACTTTGCCTAAGATGAATTTGCGTACAGTGAATCTCTAGCCACAACATTTATTCTCTACCTTTCCTCTGTCATCGATGTTGTAAGGCATCGAGACAGTTGTTTTAACGAAATAGCAAGCATAGCAGTTGAACTTCCGTACAGGGTCACGTAAGGATTGCTAGTACTCTTATCCGGGCTCAGATAACCTCAGTAGTTGCGGATATTCAGAAAAAGAATGCTGGTTCTGTTAGACAAGCTGGTTGAGCATACATCATTTACTCCAGCCTTTGAGCCTCTCGTGTGAGTTCTAAAGCATGGCATACGTCGACCAGGAAACTAGCGTGTCACGTATAAGAAGAGGGTAAAGGGACCCTTGCTTTTGAGAAGCAACTGTTCTTTGTACGATGCAATAACCTTTGCCGTATGGCAATAGTGTTGAAAAGCTGCAGATGCGGGAGTCACCCGCAACGTTCTGTTTATGCAAACGACTCAGTGTCATGATCTCAACAAAGAAAAAACACAAAAGAAAAACGCTTTGAAAATTGTCTGAGCAAGCAGTCCAACACGAACAGGTAGAAGAACATTTCATGCTGTTGAGAGCTACACAGTGCCAGTGACAACACAACTGCCGGTCTCATAATCGACTATCATCAAAGGTTTCCATTCGCCCTGCATAAGCGAAGAAACAACTTCGCCTAGTTAGAATCGCATAAATTATAATTTGGATTTAGCAGTTAGATTCCACCCTTGTATTTAAAGTTTCCTATTTTTGTTTTCTCTGTTCCTCTCCTTTTAGTTTACTATTATGCTTCGTTTTCTCTTACTCTTTCGCTAAAACGCTAACGCTTTAAATTATGCAGCTTACCTGCTTGTTTTAAATGGAATGACTACAGTATGCTGCTGAAATATTACTATCATACGTTAAATTTGAGACATGGCTACAGAGTTCTAAATTTTACTCAACTCCGTCATTTCAATAACAATTTTTTAGTAGATTAATAACCAATCTTCCATTGACTAATTAACCTGATAATTTTCATAATGATATTGTGTGATACAAGCCAGTTAAAGTTAAATGCATAGATCGACTTTGCTTCTAGTGCCTTTCATTATTCGCATAATATTAGAACTGAGAAAGACGTCTGTAGAATGATAAACAAAAATGATAGTTCACCAACACACATCATCGTGCCTCCGACTTTTGATAGGGTAAAATGACAAGACCGTGTGACATGACGCCTTTTTGGGACAGAGGCTTTCTCAGGTGATGTAAGGACTTATGAAAGTCCAGAAAGGCAGCATTTAAGATATTCTTCCGTACGGCCATGACATCTAAATGCCAAGGTCTAATTTCCGCAGTTAGATGACGGAACGCGTCGCATGATTGGAGAAGATAGAATAAGATCTGTATTGCTAAAAGAGGCAAATTTTATAGATGATAGTGGAACCTGTTCATAGCAATTTCATCGAAAACCTGAGAATATGGGAGATGCAGCTTCGTAATCATCGTTTATTTTTTTAGCTACTGCTAGATGGAAAGCCCCCAAGATTTATGCTGAAAAATTATGCCCTCTGTGATGTAATACATCGAGAATGCCATCTCGCAACATGTTTCAGTAAGGTAGAGTACGGAGTGTAATATAGAAAAAGTAAATGTAAAACAGAGCAGTTTGTTATATTGGGAATGAAGTTCTATCTTGCAATTTCATGATGGACCATTTCTGGCGTTCTCCTTTCCGTGCGGTCATTTGGGAGCGCTGACCCTAAATTTCGTTGCATCAGAAAGTAGCGCTTCCATTTTTTAAAGAGAGAATCGACAGAGAATATGGGGCAAACATAGTGATACGTCGCCTGTTTCGTTTTCACAGACTCATGTTCATTTACCAACCTCCGAAAGTAGAAAGGCCAGTGAATATGACTACGGCCAACTCGAAAGCTACCGCTTCTGATATCGATACTCTATCAGCTCTACATAGTTTGAACTAATATATCAAGCCATTTCTCATAGAGAATATCATCGCCACTCCTCATTATAGTCATACACGGAATGTCAGAACCACTAATCTACTAGAGTCATGCATGTTTACGTGTTCCCTCACAAATTTCTTCGCCTTTATCATATATATCAAAAAAGTTGAAATATGTCCGTGAAATTTTGAAACATTGTTCTAAAAGTACAATGCTACCGGATGATGAGGGAAGCAAAACTAACATAAAAAACGCTATCCCATGGAAACTAACGGGATAAGAACAAGCTGCCCTTACACA